CATACATACATACATACATACATACATACATACATACATACATACATACATATAATGGATGTTATTGAAGTATCAATACCAACCCTGTTCAGAGTGGTTCTATGAGGGAGATGGCCAGTGTCTAAATATGATGAATAAGTAAATAAATTAAATATTATATAATATATATATATATATATATATATATAAAATGAGCCACTAATAGTGAAACATCATTACAAGAAGTGTAAACCTCCTCTCTTCATCTTGGTTTCCAGTTTAGAAACATAGAGATGAGTCTTGTAATATGTTGGTCTCCTGGTTGGAATTGATTTAACCATTGCAAATTTAAGTGCGCGATGGTTCAGCAGTTAAAGACGCTGAGCTTGTCAGCTGACAGTCCAGGTTTGAGCCCCAAGCCCTGCGCATTACTTGCCTCAGCTCCTGCCCAACGAGCAGTTCAAAAGCATGCAAATGCAAGTAAATCACTTTGGTGGGAATTTAATAGTGTTCCATGTGCTTCGGCATATAATCATACTGGCCACAACATCGCAGATATGTCTTTGGACAAAGCTGACTCCCTCGACTAAGAAACAGAGATGAGCATCGCCCCGCTACAATCGGACATGACAGGACAGGAGAAACTTTTACCTCAACCTTTTTGTGGCTGGCCCTGGTTTGTTTAGGAACTCTTTCAAATACACACATATTTATGTTGGCCACAAATTTATAGTATTATATTATTTCTGAAAACTATAGTAAATGAAAAGCAATCTATAAAAATGTTAAAATAAGCTCCTCCAATTAGGGAGCCTCCCAAAGTTCTGATTGAAAGATTAGATTTAGTATATATTTGGCTTCTTTTACGTTTCTTTAACTTAATTTAACATTATTACATCTGATGTAACTTTATGCTAAAATATAAAATACTCACCATGATGGATGATGCCGTTCTCCAGCAGAGCTTGTCCCAGATTGACCCCTTCTTCTGGTTTGCTTATCTCCCCAATTTCTTTCAACCAACAAACGAACTCACTGGAAAGAAAAAGAGAAGCAGTTTAACGAACGAAGCTAGTTTCCTCTTTCCTTAAGGCAAAAAATAAATGTGCAAGATGTGACATGACCCAAGGCATTTTTCTCTCTGCCAGTTAAGCAAAGCATATTCACATGGAAGCCACATTGTGGTTAGGGTGCTGATGTTCAAATTCCTGCCCCCTTCACAAAATGCCCAGAGAGACTCTTAGCCAATCATTTTCTGTTCACCTGGTCTACTTCAAGGATCCTTCGTAATGTGTTTAAACAGGCTGACATGGCAGCATTTTACGAATCTTTCCTGAGTTTGTGCATGCATGATCTTTGAATAGTGACATCTCTGTATGAGCCTTTAGCTTTCTCTCCTAATGATCAATTCTTAAGATAAAACTCTGGAAATTTTACCTAAAATGCATCCTATTTAAATCATCTGTCAAATTGAATGTGTTAACTTTTTATTTAAAATGTATGAACATATTATGGTTATAGATTTACTCAATATGTGCTGATTGTGTATAAAGAAAGGCATATCTCTCAGTCACTTATAACTTTGACACTAAAGTTGACTGTGTAATAAAGTACTGACATTTCTACAGTCACCTTAAAGGTCATTGAGACTACTTCTGCAATTAATCCGTGATTAACACTTGGGCTTCTGAATTGCATGCCAGAGGCTGCAGTCTAAGAAAATATGGGTGCAAGATGGGGAAAAATGTATTAATTTGTATTGTTACTGTCTCATTTGCATGTTCTGCAAATAAAATCTTTAAAATTACCACTTGGATTGAATTCCTAAATCTCAACTGTAAAAATCCCATCAAAACAGCAGATGCATATAAACATGGAGGAAACACCACACCTACTCACACTGAGGACGTTATCTAGCTGGGTAATGAAAGGTCTGCAAATGAACAACTAAGCTCAGAATGGCCCAAGACTTCATAGTTCAATCCTGAACTACATATATTCAATCCTACTGGAATGCAGAAATTCATGTCATTTATTCAATGACATGAATAAATAAAGTTAAATAATAAAATATTGTCAAATTACAATAAAGAAGTCAGCAACCTAACTTATCTTTTATTTATTTCCTTTGTTCCAGAATTTCACCATGAATAAGAAGAACTGAAGAAGCTTCTTGGATGAGAAGCAAACACTCCAAGCAAAAATAAAGCAAGTCCAGTTGCTTTTTGAAAAAGCATCTTTGGGACAACCTTGACCTGAATGACTGAGAATCTCCAAAGAACATGTGGTAGAGACTGGTGTTCTTTACTGGTCATCCATAAACATCAGAAAACTGTATCTACCCAATTTGTTAACTCTGATCAACTTTTTCCATTCCAGTGCCTTTCAGAGATTCCAGCTGTCTTTCTTTGCCCAATCTCTTTCTTGTTCATCCATGGCTACAAAACAGCTGCAGTCTGTCTGGATCGGAGTTGTGGCTTATGCGTTACGACATAGCATTGCAGTCATTCATTCAGAGAAGAAAGAATACCTTCTAAGAAAGCAAGGCTAAATGCCTCCAATGACATTTCATACAGAGTTTCCATCTTTTCCCCGCAGTGTGTAACTTAACTCATGTGCTCATGTTTATGATTTTCCTTTGAGCCATGTCTATGATTACTGGAAGAAAGCTGAATTTAATAATAGCTCCAACTAGGTATAAGAAGTGTGTTGATTTTGAAAAACTAAAAGTCAGCCCTGGTGTGCCTGGAGGCCCAGGGCAGCCATTCTGGCGGGGAACAGAGAAGCCAGGATTGCCTTTTATGCGGGGACCCGAGAATAACATGGCCACCGTGAAGCTAAACCCACCAGACCACCGAGCCCACACCAGACCAGTTGCTACTGCTGACATTAACACCGATCAGCTGTTGGGCGGCTAAGCGGCTGAAACAAAAGCAGACGCTTTTGAAAAGACTGTAGCTGGTGATGTAACTCTGCTGGCCTCCCTGCTTAATGTCTACTGACTCAGCTTAGAGAAAAATGGGGGTGGGTGGGATGTGCGCATGAGTGGCTGAGGGGCTAGGGAACAGTTTAAAATGGTGGAACAGTTACTGGACAGTTAGTCCTGACTTTGAATTTCCTGTTGATGGATGTCCATTTGTGCCGGGGTTTGTGAGGGAAATAAAATTTACACTTCAGAATTTTTCCTCATGTTTACCTCAGACCCTCCTGAGACTAAACAGGGTTGGACATGATTTAAAAAATTGGGGGGAGGAGGGTGATACCTTACAGCCACTCCTCGCACTTACAAACCATCGCAGCATTCCCATGTCACACGATCAAAATTTTGGCACTCAGCAACCGGCAGGTATTTATGAAAGTGGCAACATCCTGGGGACATGAGATTGTCAGCTTCCAACAAGCAAAGCCAATGGGGGAAGTCAGATTTGCTAAATGACCTTGTTTCATTTAACAGCTCAAGCTCACGTGAAGTGTTAATACCACTTTATAATGCCTTGGTAAGGCCACACTTAGAATACTGCATTCAGTTTTGGTCACCACAATGTAGAGACTCTAGAAAGAGTGCAGAGAAGAGCAACAAAGATGATTAGGGGACTGGCGACTAAAACATATGAAGAACGGTTGCAGGAACTGGGGATGTCTAGTTTAAGAGAAAGAAGGACTAGGGGAGACATGATAGCAGTGTTCCAATATATCAGGGGTTGCCACAAAGAAGAGGGAGTCAAACTATTCTCCAAGGCACCTGAGGGTAGATCAAGAATCAATGGGTGGAAACTAATCAAGGAGAGAAGCAACTTAGAACTAAGGAGAAATTTCCTGACAGTTAGAACAATTAATCAGTGGAACAGCTTGCCTCCAGAAGTTGTGAATGCCCCAACACTGGAAGTCTTTAAGAAGATGTTAGATAGCCGTTTGTCTGGAACGGTATAGGGTTTCCTTCCTAGGCAGGGGGTTGGACTAGAAGACCTCCAAGGCCCCTTCCAACTCTGCTATTGTATTGTAACTGTTGTGATTTGCTTAACTATGGCAGAAAAGGTTGTAAAACTGGGCACAATTTATTTAATAACTGCCTGGCTTAGCAATGCAAATTCTGGTCCTAGGCATGGTCTCAAGTTTAAGGCTAACTCTGTAAGTTAAAAAATTCCTGTTATCCCTGTGACCTCAGCAGAAGATATTACCAAAGAAACAAGACTAGTGAAAGAGATTTTGAAGGATTGGGTCCTGCACATTGACTTCTGTCTGGTCCTAGTGAGAAGGATGCAATTCATAAGAAAGCAAATTTGCACTGATGCAAGAAGAAAGATTAGGAAGGTCATGGACAAGTAAGGCCTTCAGAAAAAAAGCAGCTATATTTGGAACCAATATTAAGTTCTCTACCAACAACTTTGCATACTCTGAGATCTGTCAAACAAACTATAAAAGTCCCACTTGCTGTGCGTGACAAGATGCAATGTTAATGGTTTGAGATCAGAATAGCAAGAAAATGTGCAGACCATATTTTGAATGGGGGGAGCATAGTAAGATGAACAGATATGAATTAACTGATCTGTTATGAAAAGCAAGCTGACTGCTAAAGTTAAGTTAGAAGCTCACCATTCTATTCTTATCTTTCATAGGTTTGGTAGTTGTGGGCAAAGCAGAAAGATTGCTACCTGGAAGGATGAAACCTTGTTTATAGTTAGATATGTGAATTTGGAATTAGAATACATAAAGGAATAAGTTTCAGATCAAAATGGGGGGGGGGTCTTATGTTTTAAAAAACGGTGGGGAAACATTAAAGTACTTATAGAGAGATATGTTTAAAGCTAGTACTAGACAAAAGCAGGATGGGGGGAAAAAGTAAACTACAGTGGGAAATATTTCATGCACCTCAAAAAAAATTATTGCAAGATCTAACTAACACCTTCTACAGGCATTTGGAAAAGACAACTTCCACAGCAAAATAAACAAGAGATCCCTCATGATTTAATGCAGGGGTATCAAACTGGCATCCCAAAGGCTGGATGAGTCATGCACTGGCCATGCCTGCCCCAGCTCCATGAAGGCAAAAAACATCACGATACATTATGATAGATCATGTGACGCAATCGAGCTTGACACCACAATATTCATTCAAAATATGTTGTGGATCAATTCAGAACCTTAATGCTGACAGTATCTAGATTAGGGATGACAAACCCATGGGCCAGATGCATCATGTGCTGACCACGCCTACGCCTGGGTTAGCGAAAAGGGGGGAGAGTTGTGATGCATCACATGACGACGCTGTGACGATGAGAGTTTGACACTCCTGATCTAGACCCATGAATGGAGTCTAACTAATCATCCTGGCACAGCTTTTCCCATCAGGGAAAGTAATCCCTGCAGTTGTGTTTTGTCTATTAGAAGAAGATGCTGTACTCCATGCCCATGATTGCTTCTTGAAGTGTCCAATTGTGGTAGAATGTAATGTAGAATCCCAGGAGTAACAGGATGCTTCCCAGAGAATAAAGAGATAGCAGAGGCATCATCCTACTTTTATTTCTGCATTTTAAATTCAACATTATAAGACAAAATAACTGCCAAGAGTACCTTTTTTTCTGAGCAAAAAGACAGGGTTAGGGGAGAAGGAAGGCTGCACAAGGTAGGCTGTCGAAACTATTTTCAGATTGTAAGTGCTTGTTTTGCATTTGATTCCTTCCTTTTCTAGTGATCTTGTCTCTCACATCCAAAAGAATCTGCTGCCATTACATAATCCAAGGGCATTATTTAGGAATGAATGATTAATTTTAATAAATTAACTGTAATAGAGGTTAAAGACCTTTCCAATTAAGTTCCATCAAAGCACATCTGATTTGGCTCCACAAACCATCCACAGAAAACTCATAGTCCTTTCAGTTAATTGGAAAGAAAGGCCCCATTCAAACCAAAATCACTTACTTGCCAAAAAAGCACTTGGGAACAGTGCTTAATTTTCTCCTCCTGTCTTTGATAAGATTCACTTTCTTGTTCGTCATCATGTGATACAGTTTTTCTCCTTTCTCAGCAATCATAGCATAAGCATCTCTCTCCATGCCTAGCTTCAGACCTAGAAAACAAAAGCAGAATCTTCCATAAACACTTCCCAGATAAACTTGATCAAAAAAAAAAAAAAAAGGTTGGCCTATTACCAACTAGATCACAAACATTTTCCTTTCCTCGGTGGAAATAATTTTGTAAACAAGAGAGACAAAAACAAGCTTCTCAGTTGTGAATAGACACTTCTTCTCCCCTAAATAGAGTAAGGGTAAATCTGAAGATTCTTTTCTATCCTTTTTCAATGGAAGCCGTTCATTCCTTTCCATCACAACTAAGGCTGTGTATATTGACAACGCATCCAAATCAATCATAAATATACTGAATAGACTGCATCAAGTTTCTGATCTAATTAGAGAAAATGTAGTATTATGTCCAGTGCAATTCAGAACTGTTTTCATGATCAGATTTCTACTGAAATTATTTGCAGGGGGGAGGGACGTTCTGGCCAATTGCTATCTTCTCTCCATTCTATAATACATTACTCCAAAACACTTGCTGACAAATTCTGCCAAAGGTAATTTGCAAAGTCAGATTGGGATAGAAAGCAGTCTGTGTAATTCAACACATTCTCAATTTGCAACTACATCATCGAATTCCCTAAGCTCTGAGGTAAGGAGAAGATTGCAACGCATCCCTTGCTCATCTGGTTAGAGCATAAAACATTTTGTCTTGGTGCTGATAATGGCTTGGCTGTTGAAGTATCTCAACCAGATGGGATTGCTTTTCAATAAAATCTTGAATTCATGCCTAAAACCTCCTTGATTTTCTTCTTCTCTTTGACAAATAGAAATTGCCTCTAGGCAAACAAATGAATCTCTAATTGTCAGCCCTCCCAGGTAAACCAGACAGGGAACATAAGCAGATGAACTAATTCTTCTTTATAATGTAATGGCACCTTAGATCAAATCCACTCCCTTGAATAGGTTGGGGCTTTTCTTTTGACAGAAACCAGCAAAAAGCATCACAAATCAGGTTCACAAGCCAGGATGCTGCAACTGGTTGCAAATGCGAATAAGTTGGCAAGTGCCCAAAATGCTATCATAATTTCAATGGAGTATGTGTCAGTTTGAATTGCCTCCATGGTCAATTTTTCATGGCTTATGGAAGATTTTAAAAGAGTTTAATAATACAAGTAAATGCCAGAACCTTAACGAAATATGTGTTATAAAAACTATTATAGTTTTTCCACAGTTATTAGCATAAGGAATACTAATATACATTCCTTCCCAGAACATCTTACAGCAGGCTCGGGAATCCCTTGGAAACAAAAGAGCCTGCAACAAGGCTTTATTATATATTAATTTTTAACACTCTCCTGTGGTCTTATTATATGTAGGTTTTATTGTTTTTGAAGGTTATTTAAGATATGTTTTATCGTTCTGTTTTTATTGTATGCCATCCAGAGTCACATTCGTGAGCTTAGTGGCTATATAAATTTCACAAATAAATAAATAATAAAGTTACCGTATTTTTCGGAGTATAAGGCATACTTTTCCCCCTAAAAGAGGCTGAAAATTTGGGTGCTTCTTATACTCTGAATGTAGCTTTTTCCGAATCTTTTTTTCAGCCCTAATGAGGCGCTAATGAGTGAAGTGATCATCCCTGATTTCCCTGCTTTTCTCTTGCTTCTCTCTTTGACGATCAGCTGTGCATTAGAAGCTGTTTTTTATTCCCAACCAGGGCATAAAAAGCACGCTAGCGCTCAAAATCAGCAAACCTATGTGCTGAAGCTAAGCAGACTAAGGATGCTAGCCAGATGAATACCTGGTAGGCAGAATTTTCCCTCCTACTTTCCTCCCAAAAAACTAAAGTGTGTCTTACATTCTGAAAAATACGGTACTTATTTGCTTATAAAACAAGAGCCATAAAACTTTTACATGTTGTGCAAATTAAACTCAAATATGACTTTATATGTGCCAAAAGTACTTGAGTGCCACATCTCTGAATCTGTTTTAAGGGAGAAACTTTCTACATTGTAGATGCTTAAATTATACCTTTGTACCGCCATCACCATATATTTTTTTGACTATGACAATGAAAATAAGCTGCTCCTTTTTTAGATGGGAAAATTCTGCAAATGCATACCGACTTTTGTTCCTAAAATATAAAAAGTGTCAGCCACACACTTACTTTCTCTTTGTTCCCGCTCCTTAATTATAGCATCCAGCCATTTCTGTTTGTCTTCTGCTGTCTTGGCCATACAGACAAACCATTTGTTTTTTGCCGTGTTGTGTATCTTCCATCCATTTGTTACCGTGTAACCATTACTGTGATAATCTGCTGCAAAAGCACAAATGGACCAAGAAGAGAGTGAGTGCAAACCTGGAGCCTAAAAGGAAAATAAATTCAACCTGGGCTTCACCATTGTCCATTTTTTATGGTAGTAATAGAGACAGCTATTAGGTGTTCCAAAAGTTTCATCACAATTTTTAGATATTGAGTTGGACCACAAATCGAATGAAACCTGGTTCCTATCTTGCATGCCACTGAAATACCTTGTGTGGGGAATTGTGAAAATAATACTGAGAGTATTCCAATATCAGGTAAGAAAATGATTAATGAGAAGGTATCTATTATATCAAGTGATAGAGCAGTGGTTTATTCCAGATCCTGTCGCAACCAGTACGCTGTGACAGGGCTGGCATCCACCTCGGGCACACCACCGCCCTGCGATGCTCCAGCTACTTGACAGAGGTCGTGCAGGCACCGTACACTGTGCGTGCATGTGCAATTGGCCCATTTCCCTCAAAAAGCAGTAAGGAACATGGGCGGGCGACATTCCGGTATGGTGGCCGCTGCTCCCAGAGGTGACCGGTACACCCGTACCGGGCCATACCGCCCAGAACCCACCATGGTGATAGAGTCAACTCAGCTTCATCTAATGGTTACTTGAACCAGAAATAGAACAGTTGATCTGAATTGCTTTTAATCTTAGGGAGTTCAGACTGACTAAAAATCAATAATATTTTAGTTTTTACATTGGTACACATTGGACTACATTAATTTTCAGGTCCTTGGTTTAATTTGGTGAGTGAATTAACACATTTTAGGGGTTAGTGCTAAAATGAACTACCAACTAACTATAATTTAGCAAAGTTAAGAGTTTCTGGGGATGAATTATCTAGATCTTTACCAGACCTAGTTGAATGTATTAACAGAGACTTGGAATTTAAATACCACTTCAGAAATGCAGGTATTCAATCCAAACTAAAGTGACGTCTGCCAAGAAAACAACTGGATTTTTCTTTGACAAATAAAATAGATTTGTTCATTTGTTTGCTTACTTACTTAATTTCTATGCACCCATTCCTGAAGACTCAGAGCAGCTAACATTCAAAATCATTTCATAAACTAAAGACAACACCCTCCAAAATAATCCATTTGCTTATTCATTTAAACCTATTGGCCACTTAACTCCAGGAGAACAAATGTACATGCAGTTATAAGCAACATTAATATGTACAGGTAATTCTCATTGAATGACCACTCATTCAGTGAGCATTAGAACCTATCATGGTGCTACATGTGGAAGACTTACCATAGGTCCTGATATGCCGCCATCACAGCACACCTGTTATCACATGATCAAAATTCAGGCACTTGGCAGCTGGCTCACAATCGTGACCCTGCGGTATGTCAGTCATCTAATTGCCATTTGCAATTTTCATTGCTGTTTTCCAACAACCAGAGTCAATGGAAAAGCAGGTAGGTGGTGACAAATTATGATCAAATTATGGCCATGAGATGCTGCAACCATACCACAGCCATCACCTCATAAATTGAATTCAGGAAGACACCCACCCACCCCACAAATCACCTCTGAAAGGGTGTGTAAGAATCCATTAAGAATCAAAAAAGAAGAACACCACTTGTCCTTTTGAGACAAAAATCAATTGGTCCTTACCTGTCCCATCTTCCACATTCTCAACCTCCATTACTTCTGTGTTTATTCGCCCTCTGAAAATGTAGAGGGATCCATTGATAGACTTAGTACGCTTAGATGTTTTCTTCCCAGCAACTCTGTAGTTAATGAATATGTAGTGAACAAAGATGTTTATTATGTATTGGACAGTTTCAACGCAACAACTTAACCCTTACAAACATCCTGCCACCTGAAATTGGGATGGGAATAGGAGTATAATATATGCCACCCCCTGTACTGGTAACCACGTAACCATAAATACTGCATCATAAACCTGTTGTGGAGGTGTATTTTATAAAGGCAACGATACAAGCACATAATGACAGATGGCAGAGGAACAGTTGGCAGCTAAAAATATAATCCATCTTTATGACAGGATCTGAAACCATAGTAATATTAGAGTGGTTAGTTAGTTATATATGTATGTGTGCAGGTATGTATGCTTGTATCGTATTGATTTATGTATGTGTCCATTTCTCAATTGCTTTTGTTTAGTGGTTGCTTAATTTGATTTAAGACGAAAGTTCTCAAGGGTCAACCAAAAAAAGGATGCTGAGTCAGAAGATTTAGTTTAAGCAGAGACTGGATGATGATGATGATGCTAAAAGTAGAGAACACATAAGAAATGAATAATAAGAGTCCTGCTGGATCAAACTCAGCACTATCTTCTCCCTCAAGGCTGGTCAAGATGCCTCTGAGAAGCACACAAGTAGAACATAAACTTGTCCACATAGTTTTCTTAATCACCATTTAATACCATGGTAGCACATCATGTAGATGACAATGATAAAAACAAAGAAGCAAATTTGACAAAACACAGGCAACAGCAAGAAGCAAACCTACAGAAGGGGGACTTCAATCCCTTTCACCAAAGGCCAGGGTGAAAATCCAGTGCTTCAAAACCTTCTGACAGGATGGGGGGGGGGGGTTCCCCCCCGGTTTCTTGGTGGGAACTTCATTTCAGAGGACAAATATTATGGCAAAATAGTGCATTTCCAAGGTGGCCAGTACTGTTCCGTATTTTTCGGAGTATAAGACGCACCAAGGTTTTGAAAAGGCAACTTTTTTAAAAAAAAGTTTTTGCAAACCTCCCAAAAACGGCCCATTTTTCATGTAAACAGGCTCGTCCCCCCCCCCCCCCCAAATGGAATTAATACCCTTTAGGGGGTTTTCAGAGTGCTTGGGAGGGGGGCATTTTTCACTCATTTCTGCCTTCCCCAGCCCGCAGGAGCTCTCGGAAAGCCTTCTACAGGCTCTGCAGGGCCATTTTGGTGGGGTGGGGTTTCGGGAGGCAAAAAATGCTATATTCAGTGTATAAGATGCACCCCGATTTTCAGCCTCTTTTTTTGAGGGAAAAAGGTGCGTATTATACTCTGAAAAATACAGTAATTAAAGGAACCAGGACAATGGCAAACCTGTTTGATCAAATCATCTAGTAAATAATATGGGTGGTCCCTCAAGTAACCAAGTCTAATTGTATAAGGCTTTCTTAGTAATGAACCAGACCTTGAAATGCATGTGGAAACAAACTGGCACTCTTTCATCTTGTGGAGCAGATATGTTACATGGGCATGCTGAGACATACCCATCACTGTCTGCACTGCTACATTCTATATACAGTACATGCTACATACATTCTACATCCTACATACATTAGCCACAGTGGCACAGTGGTTAGAGTGCAGTACAGCAGGCTATTTTTGCTGCCGGTTGCCTGCAATTTAACAGTTTGATTCTCACCAAGCTGAAGCTTGTCTCAGCCTTCCATCCTTCTGAGATGGGTAAAATAAGGACCCAGATTGTTGGGGGCAATAGGCTGACTCTGGAAAACTGCTTATAGAGTAAAGCACTGTAAAGTGGTATATAAGTCTAAGTGCTATTGCTATTCTGATCTGGTTGTAATTGTGAACTGCCCAGAATTTTGTTTTAAGATGGTCAGCCACATAAATCTTATAAATAAGTTTAATAAATAATGTTTTCAAGTTTCAGATGGTCTTCAAGGGCAGCACCACATATAGTGCTTTACATTTGTCAAGCTGTGAGGTGGCCAAGGGATGTCTGAAAGCTTTCCTGAGCTAGGCGAGAGCACAACTGTTATGCCAAACAAAGCTGTGTAAAGGGCTTCCTGGATGCAATTGTGCATTGAGCAAAAGCTCTGAGTCCAGGAAGATCCCTCAGATTGCACATTATTCTTGACTGAGGAAGTGCTACCCACTCCAAAGTTTTCCCAGATCTAGATGCCCCAAACACAGTCGTTTAGCCTTAACAGGAAAAAGTCAGAGACAGTTCTTCCCCATTTACACCCTGCATAGTCTCAAGACAGAGGCTCAACAGTTTCATTCAGCTGGCCTAGCAACCCACAAAGCAGATAGCTAGGGAGCAATCTCTTTCACCCAACCAATACCAATTGAAACCATCCCTACAGAAAGGAAGACAACCTCTGTAAAACAGTGGTCCCTATCCCCAAAACATGTAGGTGGCTTAGAAAGATACCATTATTAATGGAACTGAAAGCCATTGAGAAATCAAGGACTACCAGGATACAATGCACCACCCCATCTCAGTTCCATCACAGGCATCTACAGCATCTACAGCAAGGCTGCCTTAATACTAAATCCTGGCTTGAAACTTGGCTGAAAAAGAACTAAATAATCCACTTTTACAGGATTATTATCAACTGCAGACTGGTTACCCTCTCCACAATCCTCCTCAAAAATGGAGAGTTGGAGACTACATAATAATTATGGAGAACATTTGGGGTCAAGTTCCAAAGGTGCTTTTTCAAGAGGCTCCTGGATTTTGTTTTCCTTGAAGATGTTCCATTTCTCATCCAAGAAGCTTTTTTAGAGATGTAAAATGTATTCAAGAAAAACAAAGCAAATCTAGTTTCCTCTTGGAAAAGCATCTTGGGATACTATGCATGACCTGGATGATTGAGACTCTCCATAGACATTTGAGGTCAAGGACTTTGCTGAAATAACAGTGTTTTTTGTTTGTTTGTTGTCATTGTTTTGGAAGAGTTTACAGTATGTTGCCAACTTCACAGAGATCTGTCCAAGGTTCTGACAAGCCTTTTTCACCTTTGTGTTTTTAAGAATGAATAGATAAAATGTGACATCAAATATACACATGCTCTTCTTTCTATTACTTTGGATAGGTATTCTTGATGATCCAAAAATTGAGCTATGGCAGAACAGAAATCTTCATAGCTACCTGTTTGGGTTGCCCTACTAAGTGTTAAAAAAATGGTTTTGAATATTATAGATTGTGTGCTTCTGTTTTTGTTGTCCCACATGATTAATAATCATCATGTGTCAATTAAAGATGATTCTCTTAGAGTTAGGTCAGGGAATGGGGCAAGGAATGGAGTATACTATAAAAAAAATTATTTTTATGCTGGTCTATAACCATAATAGCTTTAGCACTTAGAATTATGTACTACTTCACAGTGCTTTACAACCCTCTCTAAGCAGTTTACAGAGTCAGCATATTGGTCCCAACAATATGGGTCCTCATTTTACCCACCTCAGAAGGATGGAAGGCTGAGCTGACCTTGAGCCTGGTGAGACTCGATCTGCCAATTTGCTGGCAATCAGCAGAAGTAGCCTGCAGTACTGCATTCTAACCACTACGCCACGAAATATTTGGTTTCTTTTACAATATTAAATCATTTGTATCTACCAGACTAAATTACATTCCAAGCAGTGTTTTTTAAAAAAAAGAAAAGCATAAAGTCCAGTTTATAAAGGAGGAGTAAGTGGCAATAATCAGTGATTTTACACCCACATAATTATGAACTGCAAAACAGAGTGTGTGAGTAAGTAAATTTTTTACCCAAAGTACAGCAGTAAATTCTAAATTTCACTGCCCCCCCAACAATCCTGCACATATCTGCATGGATGTGAACATTTCTATCCATGATGCAAAAGAACACTGTTTCAGTTGTATGTAAGTAACTGCACTAAGTAGGCAAAGAAAACACTGGTTTTCTCCTTCAAATACTGTTACCTTCTTTTGGAGTCACTTGATAATGAATCGAAAGACCTGTGAAACAATCCTGTAAATTTGACTCCAGTCTATCTACAGAGTGTGTGTGGGTGTGGGTGTGTGTGGGGCTGCAGCATGGAAAAGTGGCTCTAATAATATATATATTACACAAGAAAAGTTCCGAATATATTTGAACACTGTAGCTGAATAGTATGTCACTTGTTGAAGCCTGATGCTAACTAACGCCAGCAAGTAAATAGCTTCATTCTGCACTGAATTTAAACAGCAGACAGAGAGAGATAAACCATCCCAAATTATAGCAGCCTTGCCACATCTAAATATATCTCTTAAATAGTAGGTAGCATGCAGAAAACTCCTCTACTTTTAATGAAAATCAGATTCTGAAGAATGGGATAGAGCTTGCTTTGGAATTACAGGAAATATAAACACAAACTCTTTGGGGAACTGAAAGTGTCAGTGCTGCCATATCGATCTCTAAGCCAAACTGCAGAAAACTTGCTCACTGATGCCTGTTCTGTACAAACAAGAGCACTCTCTCAAAAGGCAGTAGAACATTTTGTTTCCCAAAACTCAGTGTTCTGGGAAAACTGCCTGCAGAAAGGGAGGGGCTGTATTAACCCAAACTGCTAAACTGAATGGGAGGAGGGGGGCTGACAAAGAAAGACTCAGGAAGACTCCAATGAATGAGGAGGAAGTCAAGATTTACTAGTAAAGGACACTTTTGCTTAGCACATTGATGGTCATGGGATGACATAGTCTAATACATGTAAGAGGCTACCAGGTTGGTTAGGGAAGGTTACTGTAGAATGAAGAATCTCTAGCCTATTAGTCTATTCTGTTCCTAACTGACTTACAGACCTTTAGAGTAGATATTTTCCCCTTTCTATAACTACTGCTCTATTTCACCCATGCTTTGTCCTTCCTCTTTAAAGGAGGATGCTCTTAAATTCCTTTAAGAGTATGAATAAAGTCAGCAGAAACTCATCCCACAGGTCACCAAAATATTACCGTGTTTTTCCGAAAATAAGACCTTGTCTTAATTTTTTTGCCAGAAAAAAAGGCACCAGGTCTTATTTTCAGAGGGGGGTATTGTCCACTGACTCACTTCACTTGCACAAAGCTGGCTGAGGAATTCTGGGAGTTGAAGTCGACAAGTTGTCGAGGTTGGAGACCCCTGTTCCAGAGGGCTGTTATAACCTGTTTCTTTCCCCCCCAAGTATTAGAGCCAGGGCATTTGTGTTTTGGCTATTTGTTTCTTGTACTGATTATTTTAATTGGTTCTGAATTTTTGCATTGTTTTTGTATGGGCTGCTCACCACCGCATTATGTATTTAAGATGGATAGCAGATATATTTTCTAAATAAATAAAAATAAACTCCCACACAAAGATGCTTTTTTTCAAGAGGCAACTGAACTTTCTGGTTTTTCCTTGAAGGCGTTTCGATTCTCATGCAAGAAGCAAAACGTCTTCAGAGCTGGAGAAGCTTCTTGGATGAGAAGCGAAACGTCTTCAAAGAAAAACCAGAAAGTCCAGTTGCCTCTTGGAAAAAGCACTTTTGGGACAACTATGACCTGGATGACTGAGAATCTCCAGAGACAATTCCAACACAAGAATATGACCATTGTAAATTCCAACCTATATTCTGAACTGTTATCCCTGGATCTTTCTTGATCATGATTGTCCAAAAAATAAAATAAAAAATTCTTGATCTTTTAAGAGAGATATTATTGAGATATTATTGGAGTATGCTTAGCATAGTATAAAAAGAACGTTAAGTAAACAATACCCCAATCAAGGAACTACCAACACAGAGAAACAAACTAACAGTAAGCAACAACCTAATCAAAGAAACACCAAGAACACTTCCACCAACACTGACAGGGCAAGCCAATCTATATATATAAAAATGGCTCTGTGTGTGTGTATGTTCCGGCATACGTTTAGTTGAGCAATTTCAACCAAACTTGGTACACAGATGTCTTACTCTCTAGAAAAAAAAAACGGTGGGGGTAAGACACTCCAAACACCCCTCGGGGTGGTGTTCTGTTAAGATACAGCCTGTTGTGCCTAAAAATGGCTTCTACTGTATGTCGTAAAATGGCTTCTACTGTACAGCGCAGTGGCTGTCATGGTAACAGCTTCACAGTACTCACAAGGGAGGTCCCTCTGGTAAGGGGGAAAATCCAACATTAGAAATTATCCTTGGTCCGGACATTTTCCCCCTATAAATAAATACCCAGGCAATGCCGGGTTATCCGCTAGAAGTATATAAAACAAAACAATTCCACTTCTTTTAACACTGATGATGCTATACCTAATGATAATGAAACATCTCCAATAAAACCATCAAGCTCAGAGAGCACCAAAGACCCCCAGAATCCTTCTTTGTAAATAAAAGCCTATTTTAAAACAACGACAAAACAAATGACTCCTCCACTCCTCCACGTTGCATATAGAAACTTGGTCTCAGCTTCATCCCTGTGTCTTTTGCCCCCTCTTCCCAAAAATTAGAGTCCCAGGGTAAGATTGGCCACTTCTTTGCTAAAGTCATACCTCTAGAGCCCTAAAGCTCAAAACGTAAGATGAGTCTTCATAAGAATTAGAATTTCTTATCCAGAAACAACATAAAATACTTATTTCCATGTATTTATTATTAAGGAAACTGAGCAACGGATATAGACAGTACCCTCACCTGGATTTCCGCTTGCAATAAACGAGCAAGTTATCAAAAAGAAAAAATGTTCTCTCCTGGATGTTTCCGGCTGAGATTTTTAGTAAGTTTCCTTGAAGCAGAAGCTGAGTTGAAATGTCAGTCAAATTGGAGCCCTAGAATACAAAAGAACTATTTCATGATTCTATCCCATTACAAAGCATATAATTAGAATTCTGGAGACTCAATGTTAATCCATTCAATCTTTCACTGTCACTGCTTCTTAGAAGATATTTGACTAACTCTGTTGATCATGTTTCTTTTTTAATATCATTTCTAAAAAAAAATGAAATTTTAAAAAAGTAACTTAACTTTCTCTGTCCTTACTAAGGTTTGTTTTAATTTAATACACATATTAACTATTCAGTAACCAGAATTTGCTAATCTGCACACATGGATTTTTTTTAAAATGCCTATACGAAGCCACTGGCAAGAGAGCACTAATACAAAGTAAAACCAGTTGTAAAGTAAAACAGAGTAAAGATATAAAAACATTGACATCATTATGTAAAAGCCTGAGAGTATTTATCACCTCCCAGAAACAACAGATAAACTGGGGTGTACCAAAAAGGAGACAAATGCCACCAATGGGGGTGGTGGTGACTTTTTTTTAATTGATGAAAAGAATGTTGATGCTCATTGATGAGTACTGATTACGTATGTAACCTAGCTTAGGTAATGAAATATGTCTGCAAGAAAACCAAGTTCAGAAAGCACCAAGGACCTCCCATTTCAACTCTGATCTAAAAATATCCCCCTTTATTGAAGCCTTCTTTCAGCTACCAACTTGCTATAGTATATTTGGCAAAGGTATTCATCAATTTCCATAATATGTAGGCAGTGGTGGGATTCAACCAGGGTAACAACCAGTTTGCTGAGCGAGCGCTGAATTCAATTTATAAGAAACACAGAACAAAAAAATAGAGAAAGTATAAAAATATATTTCTTATTTTGCAATGTGTTTGACAGGGTCTAACTTCCTTCTCTGCAGTGCAAACCAGACTAAGGAAGTATATTAGATTAATATGACCTACTGATGTCTTCCTAGAAAAAAAGACAAAAAAATAGTCCAGAATTGTGAAACACACACCATCAGTAAAATCTTTCTTATATATTTTGATGCACCACGCTAGCAGGGGTAGGTAAATCACAACCAATTTTGCAGATTTTATAAGTAGTAGTGGTAAGGCAAAGGAACATCAGCATCAACAGGAAGCATTCACATAAGTACACAAAAAAGATGACGCTTAGAGAGACTAGCTTTCTTCAAAACATTTGCTGAATTGGTATCAAATGTGAAACACAGATTTAAATCAGGAACTTCCTGACTCACAGTTCAGTCTCATAGGTACACATTACTAACTGTTATGCCACATTCTCAACTCTATTTAGAAGAACCTGCAGGTTTTGAGTTCAGGATTCCATAACACTTATTTGAAATAAATTAGGCTTTATTCAGGAATGATTCTGTATTATAGGCCTGTTTGATCCACCAATTGACTTTTTTTATAGTCTATGTCATAATCGGCTATAGCTGTTCAGATAGGTGTATATGATATTTCCAGTTCTTAAAGATCAGTTTTCCCCAAAACAGAATCTTTCAGATGTGTTCAATAGACAATAAGGATTTCGTCTAACAAACCAGTTGAGGAAAGTTGTTTTAAAGAGTATAATTTTCATATCTTGTTTGAAATTAATGAATCTGCATCCATGCTTAGTTATACTTAGCTACCCAATTAAATCAAGGACTGGAAACTTGGTTATAATTGGCAAGCAAGATTACAGAAAATGTGTTTGGTAAACAAATGTGATGCACCTCACTCAGATCTAAACAAAGAAAGGCAATCACAGGCTGCACGCAACCCACATAAGCTATTTATTGCTGTCCCTCTGCTCCCCAAGGAAACACTACTGAAACTTGGCAATACAATAGGAAAATATTGGTGGTAAAATTTCAGCCTGTTTTCTAAACTATTAATTGGTTTTACCAATAGAAATGGGAATTATTTGCATATAAAAAACTTGTACTCTCATTCTAACATTAAACCCCACTAAAACATGGGCTAAATATGCAGCACTGATATAACCCAATACACATAAAAATTCAAAAACGCTAATTAAACATTCAGATCACCAGGTGTATAGCACGTATACCCTTAATGATGGATAATAGAAAGTACTCCATTAGAGGAGAAAATAAAGTAAATATTAAAAAATGACAATTATTCTTATATTAAATGTAAGAATAATTCTGATATCCATGTATAGTTGCAACTCTTTCTCGATATTGATTTTTCTTTTTTAAAAGTACAATATTTTAGAGATTTTCCTTCTATATTTCTTCTGAGGAATATAGAAGAAACATCCCTTCTGGTTATATTCCTTTCTGGCCACAAAAAGTATATTCAATTAAGGTCAGCTTCTAGTATAGACAAGAAGTACATGATGTTACTTTTTCAAATTCTCCTTGCAATGGAATAAATCAGCAAGACGTTTTCATTTGTCTAAAAACCCTGATAAACATCTCAGAAATTCTTCTAATTCTCAGAGTCTTTGTTGTGCTCCATTTAAATCCTTACAGCAATGCTTAACCAATCTTAATTGTTTCCTTATTATTACTGCTGTTAATCCACTACTATCCTAGCCAATCCCATTTTTCTTCTTCTTAGTGTGGTGGTTAGTCCACTGCTATCCTGGATTGATTTATTATTTTATTTATTAAATTTGTCTGCTGCCCATTTCACCACAAGGTGCCCCTTGTGGTGAAATGGATTTGTTTAAATGTTTAAATGGAACAATGGAAACAATGGAAATGTTTAAAAAATGGATTTAGGTTGGCAAAGTAGTCACTGAGACTACAAAGCTGACCCTCAATTCAGAATAGATTTATATTTGTGCTCAGATAGTCTATCTGAGCTCTGTTAACCAACTTGCTCTCCAAAAAAAATTAAATAGCTGGCTATTTACATCATCCACATGGCTCCAGTTGGATGCCAAAAAAGAAGTCTGAAGGAGAAAATGAACAAGTCAAAACAAAACAATTTCAAAGTGGAATAAACACTCTAAACATGAAGAAATTCATATGACTTCTAACAGATGTGTCCAGCAAAAGAATTTCGGCTGGTAACCATCAGCCTCTCAAACATAGGATACTCCAGACACCAATAAGTCCAGGAAGTTATTTAGCAAATTATATTCTAGACAGTGGAATAAAAAACACATTTGCTCACTGGAAACCTCCCCTCCTGCTTAATCAGTGGCCTCTGTCAAATTCTTATGCCTATCAAAACAGTTGCAGAAATTATTACTGGATGGCCTTTTGTCCAATTTAAAAAAATCATACTCAATTCATCAAATGAATTTTAACCAACTCCGTTACAGATGCAAAAATTAGACAGATAAACTGTATTGTAATTACCAAATCAAAAAAGGTAATAAAAATAAAAAATAAAATAGAAAAAAACCTAAAAAATGGAACACAGTAAGCAAATATAAATCATGGTAAAATGTTTTACCATGGTTTAGAGCAGAGGTGGCAACCATGGTCCCTTCACAGCCTGTGAATGCTGGTTTCCAGCAAAAACATCATAATCTGGGTTGAAAGTACCTTTTGGTAGGTTCATTGTAACTTTGAACAGTTGCTAAGTAATTGATTGTAAATCAAGGAAGATAGATAGATAGATAGATAGATAGATAGATAGATAGATAGATAGATAGATAGATAGATAGATAGATAGATAGA